AGAGACAAAGCGAGAAAGAGAGAGAAAAAGAGAAAGAGAGAGAGAGAGAGAGAAAGAGAGAGAGAGAGAGAAAACATGAGAGAGGAGGTGAGAGGGCCTGCTCCCTCTCCTCCTCATCATCATCATCGTTTACCTTCATCAGAAGGACGAGGCACGTGGCCGCAAACGCGGAGTACGCAACGCCAATGAGAATCATGATCACTCCAACCACGATGTTAATCTTCGTGTGGCCAATGGCATTGAACCAGCCACTGCAAACAGAACACGGCAAAGCACATGCAAGATCGCACTGCGACGGTACGGCGATGCAACGCTAGGGGGCAGTGGGAGAGAGGAGAGGGAGGGAAGGGATAGGGAAGGAGTACTGGAGGGGGGAGGAAGGAGGGCGCACCATACCGGGGCTAAGAAAATCATAGCAATACAAGATTTGTAGGGGAGAGAAGAGGGAAGGGAGGTGACAGGGAGAGGGGAGGTAGAGAGGATGAATACGCACGCTCTCTGTCGCAGCTGCAATCCTTCATGCAAACTACTGAAGCGAACAAACATGCAGAGGCATTCCTGTGCATGTAGGCATTATGCCGCACAGCTCCAGCCCAGCGTGAGTGTAAATACTGCGCGACCGCACGTGCGCGCACTAATAAACGCATGCTGGAATGACGACGTTGCTGTGGCACCACAGGACGCGCGCAGGCCCTGCGACCTCGAGCTGACCCTGCGACCTCGCCAGACGCGCGCCGACCCCGCGGGACGCGTGCTGACCCCGTGACCTCGTGCATTGACCCCGCGACCTCGCCTACCCTCACGAGGCCGATGAACTCCAGCACGGCGGAAATGCCGAACATGAGGCCGAGGAAAAACATGATGGCTCCGACCACGTATCCCTCAGTTGTGCCTCTGCTTACTGTCTCCAACCCATTGAAGAAGCCGCTTGACAATGACAATGACAATGACAATGACAATGACAATGACAACAAATTCGCGCAAGCCACGGATGCGCGCCAGTACATACCCAACGGGGACCCAGATTTTCATTTAGTTGCAGCGAATCAAATGAATGGCGTCGCGAAAAATCATTACCACGTTAATTTGGGTGCGGGTCTACTTTAGGAGTATAAGTTGAAAGCTGGGGGTCAATTATTTTAGGTCAAGAGAAATATTGTCTTTGGTTGAAGTTTCAGTGCGCCACTGGTGAGTAAGAAGGGCACAAAGACATACACTTCCCTTTAAAGAAAGGTTAACAAGACCATACCTACTTTTTCACAACACTTTTTATGTGTGGCAAAAGCACATACACAACATGGGGATTCACGTAAAGGATCGACAGCAGACCAGGTAGGCAGCTACAATTCACTGCTGTGGACATCTTTGAATTTACATAGTCACCACAGTGAGCAGGGGTAGAATTTAACTTTTGAACACGGGAGTCCAGCGGACTCCCTGCCCCCAAAAAGAGGGAGTCCGCAGCAAAATGAGGGAGTCCGCAGTCTGAGGTTCAAAATGAAAGATTTTAACAATAACGCATGTGCTTATTTTGAAGATTCATGCAGTTGCACGTCTGCCAAATTTTCTTTTGACATTAGCTGAAAAAATACAGTAATTCCGCGAGGCCGTGCTCTGGAACGAACTAGTTACTAGTTAGTATGGCAGAATTTTCAGGGAGTCGCACGGACTCCTACATATGTCAAATCAGGGAGTCCGACAGTAAATCAGGGAGTATTTGACTCCGGACTCCCGTTAATTTCGCACCCTGGTGAGTGAGGAAGGCAACCACAGCAAATAAAGAGGGCAACCTTGGCAAGTGAGGACCGCAACCACGGCAAATAAGAAGGACAACTGTGGAAAGTAAGGAAGGCACCCTTGGCAAGTGAAGGGAGTAACCAAGGTAAGTAAGGAGAGCAACCATGGTGTGTGAGGAGGGTAACCAAGGTAAGTAAGGAGAGCAACCATGGTGTGTGAGGAGGGTAACCAAGGTAAGTAAGGAGAGCAACCATGGTGTGTGAGGAGAGCAACCATGGTGTGTGAGGAGAGCAACCATGGTGTGTGAGGAGGGTAACCATGGTGCGTGAGGAGGGTAACCATGGTGTGTGAGGAGGGTAACCATGGTAAGTAAGGAAGTAACCACGGAAAGTAAGGAGTGCAACCATGGTGTGTGAGGAGGGTAACCACGGTAAGTGAGGGAAGTAACCATGGTGTGTGAAGAGGGTAACCAGGGTGAGCGAGGACAACCTTGGCTTTTGCTGTAGATGACGAGGTAAATTTCAAGTCCTGGGCACATAACCACGCGATTGTGATGCGCACTCTAACCATCGATAACACGCACAATTGTTTCCGTATGAACAACGATGCGTCTCAGATGGATTTTCTAGTGCTACATTTAAAGGAATAATAGGCCCATTGATTATGCAAAGTTGACGAATGCTACAGTAACTGGCACCTTGTGTAGTTAATAAGTACATTACCTTATAGCCAAACGCGTATTAGTTTGTCCAATATCACTGCTGGTTACTAAGAAATGTCTAATTGAAATCGATTATGAACAACCAACGATGCGTCTCAGATGATTTTTCCTAGTGCACATTTAAAGATCAATAGGCCCATTGATGTATGCAAAGTTGAGGAATGCCTAGCACGTAACTGCGCACCTCTGTGTACGTAATAAGTACATTACGTTATAGCCAAACGCGTATTAGTTGTCCAGTATCAGCTGCTGGTTATAAGCAAATGTCTAATTGAATATGGCGCGGGCAGTCCAAGAATCGTTGGAGCGATTGTTTCTAGCAGTCTAAAAACCGGCATACGGCGAGAAGCGGGTGTGATAAGATTTATAGTGCAACCGACATTTTCGCAGCGCATGCTCGGCCGTACGCGAATGCTAGC